TTCATTATAGGTTTAAAGAGAAATCTTGCACTAGGGAAATGTCCAGAGATATACAAGGTTGACCCCAACTAATAATCTAATCAATAGTGGAGAGGCTCCCTTAAATGTGCTTCCCTGATAATGAGATTCAGACTACCTTATATGTCATCCTAGAGCCTTCATCCAGTAGTGGATGGAAGCAGAAGCAGACACCCACAGCTAAACAGCTGAACTCGGGAATCCAGTTGCAGAGACAGAGGAGTGATGAGCAAAGGAGTCAAAACCAGGCTGGAGAATCCAAAGAAACAGCTGACCTGAACAAGGGGGATCTCAGGGACCCCCAGACTGATAGCTGGGAGACCAGCATAGGACTGTTCCAGACCTCCAGAACAAGGATGTCAGTTTGGAGGTCTGGTAAATATATATGTGGCCTCTGGTAGTAGATCAGTATTTATCTCTAGTACAGGAATGAACTTTGGGATCCCACTCCACATGGAGGAATACACTCACAGCCTAGACACACGGGGGAGGGTCTAGGCCCTGCTCCAAATGATATGACAGACATTGAAGATCCCCCATGGAAGGTGTCACACCATTCCTGGGGAGCAGAAAGGGAATGGGACAGGCAGGCAGTGGGGGGCAGAGGTGGAGAAGAGGTAGAGGGAACTGGGATTGACATATAAAAGAAGCTTGTTTCTAATTTAAATTTTGAAAAAATGGAAGAAAAACAAACAAACAAAAAACTGAAACCAAAACAAACAAATAACCAAAAAAAATCTACTCAATTCTGGGAGACCAGTTCCCAGAAATGTACCATGGTTGCAGAAAGAATGCCTTCAAAGCAGTAAGGACTTAGGAAACTTTTTATCTTAGGGTCTTTAGAAATAAGTTTCTATATATCTGAGGAAAAAAGACTCATATACACAGTCTGAGGGTCAAGCACTTTATTCTTTCCAGCAATCATTCTTTGCTCTAATTCACTTTAACTCTTTTTTTTTCAACCAGATTATAGAAACATTTAACAGTAAACTTCTGGAAATAATAAACAGGCTACAAAAGCTGCTTCTCAAGGTCATAATGCATTCCCCGAGGAAATGGTGAGGGGCAGAGCCATTTACTATGGCAATGCGCTGGGCATTTCAGTACTCTTCGACAAGGGCTGGCATTGACAAGCACTCCAAGCCTGGTGACACATTTTCTTATCTTGTGTGCAGTTCCAGAACACAAGGAAAGAAGCTTGTAACTTTTTTATTCAAGACTGTTAGGCCAGAACATCTGGTTATCTATGGAATCTTTTCCGTGTAAAACTGTTTCTCTCTAGATTTGGTTAACTGGATAGCTGTTTTTCTTGTCCTTCATATAAATTCTAGGACTGAAACATAAACAATTATATAACTCTTGAATTTTATGCCCTATTCTGAGGTTAGAAGTTTGTGTAGAGTTTTAAATGCTAAAGAATTATTAAGGGTGGCCACTGATCTCTACTATCAGCCAGGCCTGGCTAGAGAAGCTGGTATAGACTTTCTAGGACACTTTGTGCTAATAGCCTTGACTTATACACCTGCAACTCCGTCCTTGTGTGTCTCTGCAAAGTTTGTAACTTACAATCCATTCACAGAGACATTCAGTCTAATTTGAAATCATTCTGAGTTTTTATTTAAATCGGCCAAATATATGAACTTGTCTTAGACTGGGGAGAAATTGTTATTTTCTTATGTTAGTTTGAGTAAAGAAACAAAACAGGCTTGCTTCTAAGTGTCTTACAGTCCTCACTGAACAGTAGACCTAGTTATAAAGCATATCCTAGTATATTTCTGTTCACCAAAATTATACTTTAAACAGAAATCATCTTCCTGACTAACCACAGCTATATATATATATATATATATATATATATATATATATATATATATGAGATAAACACAAGCAGTGGGAAAAATACCCATAGTGGCACATGACAAAAACTACAGACAGAAGCAACTAGTCATTTACAGTTGGTGACTCCATGGTCCTTGCCAAATGAGGCTCCCCGTCAGAGAGTTATTTGTTTGGCAGGTCAGCCTGTTGAATACTAGTTTCCACTTGCTATATACCCCCCTGGCTCTCTGGGATTTGCTTTTGTAACTCTATGAAAGTTTTGATCAGAATTTCAATAAGTCCCTAATTTACTTTTGGTAATGTGGACATTCTCAAAAATAATTTTAATTCTCCAAATCCAGGAGCACGGGTGTTCTCTTTATCATGTAGTATCTTCTTTTCCATTGTTCTGACGTTTTCATTGTCTGTGTCATTGATATCCTTAGTAAGGCTTATTCCTAGATATTTTGGAGAGTAAAGAAAGTTATCATGTCACAATTTTTGCTAATTCCCTTCTCAGCAAGTTCATTATTGGTACACATGAAGTCTATTCATTTTTATGTTGACTTTGTATTCTGGAACTTAGACAGTTTATTATATTTGAGGATCTTTGAAGTACAAAATCATTTTACTCACTCTTTTCCTACTTCTGGCTTCTTTTATATTTTTCTCTTGTCCAGCTGCTGTGGATAAGACTTCAAGAAAAGTATTGATTAAGGATAGAAATACTGGGCACACTTGTCTAATTCCAGGTTTTAAGGGAAATGTTTTAAAATTGTCCTCGTTTGGAATATCATTGATTAGAGGTTTGTCATTTAAATCTATAAGGAAAAGGAGCAAGCTGGACAAATAGAAATACAAAAGGTACAGTTTGAGGAGAAAAGGAGTACCAGGAAGTAAAATGTGTCTAAGTCATGTGCTCAAGGAAATACAGAGTTGTTGTTTTTTTTAAAATCTCGATGGTAAATGCAATAAGTGGAATGGAGATCTCATGGCAAGATAATACTTGGCTAAGCTTCCAACTTGTGGGAAGACATTGAAGGAAACCATCAATAATAGAAAATTCATGCAAATGTAATTACATAAGGGGACCAAGTTCCAGCCCTAACAAGCACCAGAACTTGGCAGGTCTGGCAATGTAGTTCTGGCTTTAGGATAAAGAATACAAGAAAAGAGTTGTGGAATCTTCTTCCATGGCTAATAAGAGCAGCTGGGGTCAGCTGTGGGTCAGTGGAGTCCCTGCACAGAGGCCAGGAGAGTCCCATGTGTGAGGCTGTGAAGGCGAAGCCCATATTGTATTAGAGACAGAGACAACAGCATGTTGGAGATCACAGATTTGTGGGATACCTGCCACGGAGATACGCTAAAGGGATATAAAACCAGCCCAAAAGAGAGAAGTATGTTGCAGTCAACAAAGCTAAAAGGAGTTGCAGATCTGAAGAGTGCTTTGTTATCAGACATGGAGATCCAGAATTCAGAGTTTGTCCTGCTGTGTTGCAGTCTTCCTTTAGTTCAGTATTTGATCACCATGTTCCCTTTCTTTCTTTTTAGAGTGGCAATGTATATTCTGCACCATTGTATGTTGGAAGAAAGTGATTTTTTTATTTTGATTTTATAGGGAATTACAGTTAAGAGATTGCCTTGAGTTTCAGAGGATACTTCGAGCTTTGGATGTTTAAACATTGTTGATTCTATGGTAGATTATAGGGATTCTGAAGTTGAACTGAATACAATTTTGCATTATGACATATGACTGTAAGCCTATGGGGCCCAGCGAGTGAAATGTGGTGGTTTAAGTAGGGTCAAAGACTAATGGACTACAATTGAGGAACCTGATATAAATCCATATAACAATGGCCACATGAATTCTGTGAAATACATTAAGAATGTACACGTGGGTAAAGATAGCTTTCTCAACAAATGGTTTGGCAGAAATCTACAGAAAATGAATGTAGATTCAAATCTCCCACCCTGCAAAGAACATCTATTAAAGATAGTTCAGGAAGGTTGAGTGGGGGATAGAATAGGGGGATAACAGGATAGGAAAAACCATAAAAGAGGGAATCATAGGTTAGAAGACAGATCTGGCACCAGTGAGACCTCTAGTGATCTAAAGGGATGACACCAACTGGCAAGCTAAGCAATAGTGGAGAGACCACCTTAAATGCCCATTCCTGATAATGAACTTGATGTCTACACTATATGTCATCCTAGAACCTTCATCCAGTGACTGACGGAAGCACAGGTGAACCCCCAAAGTTAAACACTGAGTGAACCCACAGAACCCAGTGACAGAGAGAGGAGCGATGAGCAAATTGGCAAAGAATGTGCTGGCAAAACCAGCAGAGACAGCTGATCTGAACAGGGGAGAGCTCTTGGACCCCACCCAGACCGACATCTGGGAGGCCAGCATGGGACTGATCAAGACCCCCTGAATGTGAGAGTCAGTGAGGACCCCTGGGCAACCTAAGCGGCCCTGGGCAGTAGATCAATGTTTATCCCTGGCATACAAAAGGACTTTGTGTGTCCATAACACAAAGAGGGATGCTCTCTTGCCTGGACTCTTAGGGGAGTGCCTGTACCCTGCCCTGAGTGAAATGACAGACTCTGAATATCGCCTATGTGGAAGGAAGTGGGGATAGGGTGGGAGGCTGGGGGGGATGGACGGGGGTGTGCAGGAGAAGGGGAGGGAGAGAGAACTGGCATTGACATGTGAAGCACGCTATTTAAAAGTAAAGTAATAAAAAGGATCTTTAAGTTAAAACCTGAAGATGCTAAAGGTAAGCAGGGAGTACACTTGCAGTCTTCAAGATAGACTAGAACCCTTTGCCTTCTCAAGACACAGAGAGAGAGAGGAGAGAGAGAGAGAGAGAGAGAGAGAGAGAGAGAGAGAGAGAGAGGGAGGGAGGGAGGGAGGGAGGGAGGGAGGGAGGGAGGAGGGAGGGAGGGAGGGAGGGAGGGAGGGAGGGAGGGAGGGAGGGAGGGAGGGAGGGAGGGAGGGAGGGAGGGAGGGTGGGAGAGAATCTGAATTTTTAAAAATTGTGAACAGAGGCGGCGGGCATGATAACAAACCCCCGGGTTTCCTACGCGGGTGGTTCGGCTGTGTGCAGGCGCCCGTGGTGGGCGCGAGGACGGCTCTCCGCGGGCGGCGCCGGGCCAGCGCCTCGTCGGCCCGAGCGATGGCGCTCTTCCGGGGAATGTGGGGCGCGCTAAGGGCGCTCAGGCGCTCTGGGGCCGAGATGTGCGCGGGTTGAGGAGGTCGCTTGCCCTAGGCGCTCAGCCTTATCTGTATTCCGAAATGTTTTTCATCCAACTTGGGTAGTTATCCAAAGAAACCTATGACTTCATACCTTCGATTTTCTACAGAACAGCTACCCAGATTTAAAGCTAAACACCCAGATGTAAAGATCTCAGAACTGATTAGAATAGCGGCCTCATGGAGGGAACTACCGGATGCAGAAAAAAAAGTGTATGAAGCTGATTTTAAAGCAGACTGGAAAGCATACAAAGAAGCTTTGAGCAAGTTTAAAGACCAGCTAACTCCATCTCAGCTGGTATCTTTTGAGAAAGAAGTCAGGCAAAAACGTTTAAAAAAGAAAGCCTCAATAAAAAAGAGAGAATTAACGTTGCTTGGAAAACCAAAAAGACCTCGATCAGCCTACAACATTTATGTATCTGAAAGCTTCCAAGAGACTAAAGATGGATCTGCTTCAGGAAGACTGAAGTCTATAAATGAGGCTTGGAAAAATCTATCTAGTGACGAAAGGCAAGCGTACATTCAGCTTGCTAAAGATGATAGAATTCGTTACGATAATGAAATGAAGTCTTGGGAAGAGCAAATGGCTGAAGTTGGACGAAGTGATCTCATCCGTCGCAATGTGAGACGATCAGACATCCCTGAGGATTAAGATAGAAGATGGAGTTGTCTCTGTGATTAGGCACAAGAAACCAATTAGGTCTCAATGCCTTAAGTTGTCACATTAGAAAGGATAAGGCTGGTTAACATTTGATATTCAGTTCCTTTTTCTGTAGCCCATGGACTTCTGCGCGTTGAATACATTTCTGTATTTCAAGCCCTGACAGAAGAAGATTCTGCAAAGTTCTGCTTTTTGCTTAAGAACTGGAGATGAGACTGTCTATGCATCTGCATGTAGGGGTAAATGAACTGTTGTGTTTGATGGAGGTAGATAGACTGTGAAATGACTTTTACACTCATAACAGTTATGTGTGGCTTTGTGACGTTTTTACACTGATGACAATATGTGGGTATGTGAAGTTTTTACACTATGACAGTTACATCAAGTGTGCCCCTCTATTCCGGGGCCACAGCTGCTTTCACAGCTATGGCAAAGCTATGATGTAACTGCATATTCAAAGAAGCTTCCAGACTCATTAGATGAAGTGATTCTTAGACATAAATCATGTGTGGGGTTGATGTTTGTACATATAAGTGATCGTTGACATCATAACAGCTTTTTATAGTAAGGAACAAAGAGATTTATAAACCTTTCTCATCTTTTTCTTTTTCCTAAAGTAAAACCTAAGAAATTATGTATCAGGTCTATGCATATTGTTCTTATTGCATAGAATAAAAATTCTAATTTTTCAAACATGTTTCTGAATTATGTAAATTTTAGATGAACTATGTGGTTAACAGATTTTTTTAAAGTAAGTATTTTTTCCTCCAGAATTACTTTTTCATGTGAGAATATTCACAGAACTTGTGTGATCTAAATTTTTAAATGAGAAATATGAGAAAACAGGTCTCTAGAATCAGATATGTGAGACGTTGTCCATGACTGCTAAGGGCCTGTGCAGGAGGACCAGCTGTGGAGCTGGCCAGTCCAGCCACTGGTTGACTGTTTTTCAGGGCCTATTCATAAGTAATGTATTTATAGTTTAAATAGGTTTTTAAAAGGAAAATCATGAATGTGAAAATTAATATGCTCGTTAGTGTTTGCAAATAGAATTTTATTGGAACACAGCATTTGCTCTCTTGGGTTTGTTGTGTATGGTGCTCTGCTACAGGGACTAGACTGGGAAGCTGCAGTGTACACATGTGGCCCTTGGCACATAGTTTGCCACCATGGTTTGTGGCATGGTGCAGTGTGGCTACTGGGCATGCAAGGTTAGTTTTCTCAGCTGTCCTTCATGGTCTTGTGGAACTGTCATCCTGCCTTAGGGTCAGCTCTGGGTCACTGTAAGCCTAACTATTCTCGGTGCAAGCAAAGAAAATATTCTTTAGTTTGGAACAGTTGTTAGTATAGTGTAAGAGGTCGTGTTGCATGGAGTGGAGCTCTCCTTATCTTTACTGTCGCCCAGAGAAAGTGTCTTCCCACCTTTGAGCTGGCACATCTCAAGTCCTCACCAAGCCCAAGTCGGCCGCCACTCTTCAACCTCTGTTCTGTTTTAGAGAACAGGTAGTTTCAACCCCACACCACTGAGCAGATCTCAGAGCTCCAGAAGACTCGGGTGTTTCCCTTTCCTTTGAAATCCCTGAACTTGACAGGGTAGGAACAGTGGAACATACATATGGAGGGGGGATGTGAGATTTATGCCTGAGACGGGGATGTAACTAGTAGAAAGCTTGCCTAGAACGTGCCAGGCCTTGGATTCTATTCCTAGCACTGCAACTCCCTGATCAATAAATAATCAAAATTTTGAAAATGAATTTAAGAATAAAATAATTTTCCCCAGTGAAA